TAAATGTCTCAATCCAATCACTTTCCTTAATATAGCATAATAGCAACAACAATTATTAAAAATAGCCAATTATTAAAGGATGAAAGTTTTTAATTTCATTTTGCATTTTACTACAATTCAATCACAATATATGGTCACCATCGAGATCAAAATGTTGTACAAGTAATTCTATTCCCATTGTTCCTTTTATAGTTTGAATTTAAAAACCAAAATTGCATTATAAATTGCAAAAAAAAAAATAATAAGAACAATAAAAAAAACAGTAAGTAAAAAAAAAAAAAATCGCGGGCGGGCCGATTTGGCCCGCGGGCTAATGCGGGCGGGCTATGGGCCATGGATTTCCCAGCCCGTAGGAATGCGGGCCATTTTGGCCCGCCCCATTTGAACCGCGGGCCGGAGCGGGCCGGGTCGGACTAGCCCGTTTGATAGTGCTAGATAAAACTGTTTTGAAACAAACCGGTCAATAGCCAAGCGAACCGGTGAAAACCGAAAAACCCTGCTGGTAATCGGGTTGGACCAGTGAGTGCCTTATGCGCGACAGAAATTTTAATGCATTTATAAAGCAACTGTTTGAGACTGTTTTGTAAACATGGGTTGGACCAGTGAGTGCCTTATTTGAGTGTGAGTTAGTTTTAGACTGTTTTGTAAACATGAGTGTATTTTTTTTCTCTTAATAAAATATATGCAGTAGTCCGGAGACGTAGACATTATTGACCGAACTCCGTTATTAATTTGGTGTGACCAATTTTTCGCTTCTATCTCTTATAGATCCGAATTAATGAAAAATTCAACGTATTTTTTTCTAACATTTCTTGTTTCCCACATTCTGACAAATTCACTTGTATTTTGTACCTACATAAATACCAATTTTGTGTTAAAAGCAATGTTCTGAAAACCGTATCAGCCAGTCTCACCGGTTCCCGAACCGGATCAGCCAGTCCGACCGGTTGAACCGGAACCGGTCTATTGTCCAATTCAGTTTGATTGATAAAACAGTATTGAAACAATCCGGTCAATAGCCAAGCGAACCGGTGAAAACCGAAAAACCCCGCTGGTAACCGATTTGGACCAGTGAGTGCCTTTTGCTCGACAGAAATTTTAATGCATTTATAAAGCAACTCCTTTACTTCTTTACCCGATGTGGGATAAAGCAAATTTACCTTGTGGATGCAGTTCAATGTAAGGTGGCAACAATTAAAATTGGGCCCAGGGGATGGCTGATCCAAAAATGATCCCAAAAGTTGGATTGTATCAAGGTAACTGAAGTCCAAGGATCCCAAAAGTTGGATTGTATCAGGTAGTTTGTTCAGATTAAAAAAAAATTAGACAATAACAAACTTGTATGTCATCCAAGTCACCAGTTACATACAAGTGTAGTATTTTTCTTTATATTAAAAATATTATATTTTGTACTATAAATAAAAAAATACATATATAAATATAATGGGTATAGATAAGTTAGTTTAAGTATTTAAAAGTTTCATATATTTTATTAATGAAGTTTTTGTATATAATTTCTATTATATAAAATATTGTATATTTAAAAAATATTAATAAATTTAATTACGGTCCAACCGGTTCAACTAGTGGTCGGATCAGTGAAGCATTGAACTAATAGCTTCACCGGTTCGATGACCGGTCCGATTTTCAAAACATTGGTTAAAAGAGAACTTTACTTTATAAAGCTAATTATAGAAGTAATAGAAAAACCCAAAGGTATATTACAAATACTAATGCCCAACAAATTTTACTTCTTTACACAAACAACTAATTAGAGCCACAACCACAAAAATAATACATCGATTGACCCAATAGATGGAAAAATACATAATTACCCAACTACTTTAGTATTTTCATCAACCTGTGGGATTCTAAACTAAGATAATCCTCAACAGGCATTCATTCAACAAGATGTAGCTGGAATTTATCATATAGATGCTGATCTTCACTATTTTCTACCTTTTCATATATTGCTACCATTTTAGAAAAAAAAAAAAAAAAAAAAGATGGATTCATTTATTTAGACAAGGAGCCACCAGCCGACATTTCGGCAGTTCAAACTAAGGGCTCTATTTGCCGAGACGTGCTAACATTGCTGCAGTTATCCACACGAGATGGAGCTGGCCTAATCATGAGACTTTGCAAGAATGCTATCATCTACAATATAAAAAACGAAAAACACAAATTGCAAAAATTAAATGTCGTGTATTATTTTCATTCTATCTATTTATCCATTTGAGCAAGGAGGCACTTACAGCAGCTAAGCCCGAGACCATAATGCTGAATCCAGGAAAGTGAAATGGTGCATGGTCCGATAGAAACAATGCTGCCGAAAGAATAAACATGAATTTTTTTCAGACTTTATTTTTCTCTTCGTCTCACTTTCTTATTTTTATTGCTTTTTTCATACTTGAAGTTGGAAAAAGAGGATTTATAGTTTACCTGTCAAAGGGCTAAAGGCAAGAGGGGAGACAATGTTAGAAAAGGAACATATGCCTGTAATACAACCTTGAGCCTTTCCCTATTTACCATTCGTCATTTAATAAGTTAGACAAAATTTCGCACCCGATAGTCCAACCTATACCGAATATCGAAATATCTAATCTTTTTTCAGGAAGTAACAACAATCACCTGCTCACTCGGTCCTGTTTGTTTTGAGGCAATGCTTCGTAACTGCAAATACGAGTAAAAAATATTATGATCACCAAACACTTTGAAAGTATTGATCAAGATTTTTAGTATGATTCAAATCTTATGAATTACTCACACATGGCAGAGCGAAAGTGGAGATAACTGTAATCATTGATGCTACATATGGAACCTGCACAAATGATGGGGGAGTGGTTTTTTTTTTTTTTTT